TGGCAGATCCCTCACGACCCGTCACCTCTTAAAGGCCCTTCTCTCAATACTGCCATATTGTCAGTTAAATTTCAACATGAGTTTTGGATGGGACAAATATTCAAACCATTGTAGATCATCTTGTCTAAATGGATTGAAACTACTCAAAATTAACTTCCTTTCTATCTCCTCAGTTCAATAAGTCTCTGTCGCTGAAGAACTATTTTCTCAATTTTTTCCAAGACTGCATCTTCTTAAAGCAAAAACAACAAAGACCTAAAATCCGATTTGTCATAGGTGTAATAAGTCAGTCATCTAGAATTTCAGTTTGTGTGAAACCAAATATGCAGATGGTTTGAATTGTTAATGAAAAATTAACAATGAAAAATTTCCATCCCACTAATGTCAATTTGTGTCCTACCATCTCCATGGAAGTCTCACTACCCCTGCGAATTCGTAATAGTTTCTGCATCTCAAAGCCCCCAGATCTTTTATTTCTGAGTGGTTCATTCCAGCTGGTAGTCTAGGCAGCCTCTCTTTATTTAAGCTTTTAAAAAATACTCTAAATTCATTTTTCCCTCAGTTGGTAGCTTCAAGGCATTTTAAGAACAGTTTTTTATTTCTCTTTAAGATGTAAGTGTATATAAAGTGTATTTTTTTTTTCTGGACAACTCTGGGAGTATAGAATTGTCCAGAAAAATCCACTGATCCAAGGTTACTTCACTTCCAATTATAATAATTGTTGCACCTTTTAAACAACAATTATTATAAGAATAGTAACGATAAGTCTTAACATGTAAATCCTTGGAAGAGAGTTCATTCAAAATGATGAACTTCCTATTAAGGAACAAATAAACAATACTTAATCAATTCCTCTTTAAAGGTAAGATTTGAGAGGGGAGGATACCAGCCCCTGAAAGGAGAGGAGGTTGAAAGAGAGACTTAAAGCACCTGGGTAGGCTCCCATAGAATGTGGAAGCCACAGAGTCATCTAGATTTATTTTCTGGTTGTCTTATCCATGTTAAAGGTAAACGTTAAAATGGGGTGCATTTCTATTTCCGTTTTCCTTTCTTTCAGTTTGAAATCCAAGTTGTCATTGAATAGCTTCACTAAATGGGGTGCTCTTTTGTTTTCATTATTGTTCACAGAAAAAGCTGTATTTATGGTCTGCTAGTGAATTTGAATAAACTAGGTTTAAAATGATTTTCAGGGTTTTTATGTGTTGACTGCTTTGAAAAGAACAAAAGCAACTCCGAATAATGCATGAGGCAAATTGCTTGGTACTATTAGAAAATTTTACTCATTTACAAAGAAATATTTCTTTTGTAAAATGGAAACTCTCTAATAGATTTAATGCTATAGATAGCTAGTTGTTCCTAAAAAAAATGAATTGTTAGCAAATTTAATTAGGTCATGTATATAGCAATATGTTTAAAATAAGACCTCTTTCTGTTCATTACAGACTATTTAATAAGATAGGGAGTGCTATCCTTTAATTGCACAAGTATGCATTAAATTATAGTCCTAAAATTCCCTACCAAGGTCTAATTTGGGTCAATGCTGAGATGATGGTGCTTCACAACTTAGCCACAACAGAATCTTGATGAATTTGTAGCAGAGACTCTTTACTTATGGGTTACTGTTGCAAATGATAGTTATTGAAATGACCTGTACCCTTAAGTAACCAGGACCTTTTCACAAACTTTAGCTGAAGAATGGCAGCTAACAGAACTGAATCAATGAGGCAGGGTAAAAATTTAAAGAAATCTCTTGGTTGATCAGTTTTCATGAGAACCAAAGATCTGAACATCTGCTCTTCTAACTCTTATAGGACATTTCTAACAGTAAAGCCACCCATAAGCCATGTTTCTCAATTTCAGCTACAAAGATTTTAAGACTAATGTTTAAATTCCTCCTCTAAAGGTTTCAGTTGGCTTAAGGGGCAGTCCAGATCTTGGAATTTTTACAAGTTGCCAATGGACTGAAAGAAACAGCCAAGGTTGTGAACTTTAAAGGTTTACAGGGTTATAAGTTTGCTGGCACCCCGCAGCCACTGATGATTTCCTCTTAAACTTAATAATTCTATTTCACTTAGCCAATGAATGGTGATATCCCTCTAGAAAATAAATAACCAAACCTGGAGCTTCCTTTGATGGAAAAAATGAGAGTTTCTTAAACTGGCATGAGTACCTTTTATATTTCCCTCATGGCTCCAATATACAGCCAGGGTTGCAAACTGCTGCCTTACAGTTATTTAGACCTAGCCATGTGATGCCCTTTCAATGTAGATAAATGAAGAAACTACACGTGATTACTCATTAGAGGATTTTATTTAAAAATAGAATTTTGCTTAATAACAATTCGATTTTTGTTTATATTGTATATGTGATAGATATATGTTCCAGTTAGAATAGCCCTCTTTGGCTGGGCAGAATGGCTCACACCTATAATCCCAGCACTTTGGGAGGCTGAGGCAGGTGGATCACGAGATCAGGAGATCAAGACCATCTTGGCTAACACGGTGAAACTCCATTTCTACTAAAAATACAAAAAATTAGCCGGGCATGGTGGCACATCCCTGTAGTCCCAGCTACTCAGGAGGCTAAGGCAGGAGAATCGCCTGAACCTGGGAAGCAGAAGTTGCAGTGAGCTGAGATGGCAGCACTACACTCCAGCCTGGGTGACAGAGCAAGACTCTGTCTCAAAAAA